TATATGCATATTTACAACCCACTGGGGGTTACTACAGTATCTGTAAACAAATGTAACTGCTGATTACATGCCTTACAATTTCACAGTTCCATTTAACATTACTGTTTAGCTGTACACTTAACTATCATTCGCTTCAGCGCAACTATAATGGTAAACCATGGGTGAAGATTCACTCCACTAAAACCACTTGCTCCAATAATTGTTTTCTAGTAATCAGTACAAATCCAAAATCACACCTTCTCAATCTCACCGCTTTCCTCCTTTTGACACTATCAGGCTCGCTCTTGGTATAGATCTTAACCTAAAATCTTGACCTTGACCATGGTGTAAAGCTTGTGTCAATTTATTTCTTAGTTGTTTTTCAGTCAGCTCCTTTACTTTCTTTAAGAGGCTCTCTTCTTCCTCATAGCCTGTGAATATGCCAAAGAGCTCCATTCCCAGCCTACTCCAGTCATTCAGCCTTTGGAAAGTTCTCACTTGTTCCTGATTTTTGTTGTCACAAAGCAAATCCAAAATTCTCTCTATTCCCTCATCTTCCTGACAGCTTTTCTCTGTCGGTTTCCTTAATAGTGTCAATACACCAAAACCATCCTGGGCCTTCTATCTGACACTGCTGACCTCCTCACCTACCCCCTAATTTGGATACATATTAATTTCTCTGCTACTTTGCCCTTGCAGAGGAATCAATTCCTCCATTTCTTCCTTCATCATACTGCTATTGTCCACATTCTCCTTTCACCCAGATAATCAAAATCTCATTATCTACTACCTTGACTTATCAATCCTCCCTATACATTCCTAAACCCCATCAATCCTCCCTATACATCCCTAAACCCCACATTAGTCTCTCCAGATCCCTTCCAAACATCGTGTCACTTCCAAGGTTTCCCTTCTCCTCTGAAACATGCGATACTGGAAAACCTCACAATTGTAAAGGCTCTATTTACTCCTTTTGCACACTCTGCCTATGTGAGGGCTGATGATTTCCATTACTGACGTATCTGCTGCTCTCACAAGCACCATAGCATTCTCTCCCATCCACGCTCCTCTAGCTACTGACATTATCTAGTTGTTTTGTAGAGGTGTACCAGAAATGCAAAAGTTGAGAAGGTATTTGAAGGCCAACAATGTGTGAAGTTATCTCAGCACATTGCTCTGATGGAGCCATTGCTGAGTTCTACTTCTGTGTTTTCTACAGAAATTCAAAGAGCAATTAGATGTGTGACCATCAGAGACTTGAAATAATTAGCCTAGCCATTTATTTTGTTAATGAGTTTGAAGTCACGTGAACGTACACCTGACTAGCTTTAAACACAAAAAGAATGACTGCATCCTATGATACTTATTAGTAACAGGATGAACAAACTTAGTTATAGCTGCACAACTTTAAAACAAGTGTTCAGACAGACAAATGTAACCAACAAAATTAGAAGTTCCCCATTCATTAGGGAAGAGCAGTTAAAGAAATCAGATATAGATTTTTTTTTTTTTTTTAAACTACAAACGAGACTCCTGGAAATTTTACCTTTTGGATTTTATTCCTCAGCAAATTATAATATATTGCTTTCTGTAAATGAAAGTGTAGGTTGCATTTTCAAAAAATTAAGAGCCAAAGGGTCAACTTAAAACCATAAATGGCTATGACCTCCTTCTTGCTATTTAGAATATTTCAAACTAAAAAAGAAAAAAATGACAACATTTCAGAAAGAAATCAAGGCAGAAAACGGATTATATAAAAGCTTCCAATTCATTATGTTTAGAAACAGGAAGATTATTTTTATTATAATATTATGCTGGAAAAAATCATAAATTAATCTAATAGTTCCAATTCCCTCCTTCCAATCAGATCAAACAATGCATCAGAATTATTTCTTGTGCTACAATTTACCTATCAGAAGCGAAAATCCAGCACAACTTACTTTTTATTTATGCTCTAATCTTGAGCAGCATTACTTAGTGACCTCAGAGTAAGGGCTGCTTTTTGCAAACAAGTGAGGAGTCCAGGCTTGCCCTGTAAAATAGAGGTGGAGCCAGGGAACATACAATATAGTTCCTCCCTGTGCTCTTTCATTGCATTGCATACCTAACCAGAGCTGGAGGTTTCAGATAGTCCTAGGGGCCCACCTTTAGGTGGTCAGGTTAGAAAGAGATTTTATCAGTTGTTTGCAACACCCAAAATCTTTATGTAGGTTCTGCTTCTAAGGAAGTGATACTAGCATATTTGCAAACTAATTTGTCGTAATAGGCCCATTGTAAAAGATGTGGCTCACAGGCATACCTGCCGTATATTTCTAAATGGATTAGAAAATAATTAATATTTAAAAAGCTTCAAGCATTTTGTTTAACGAAGAGATTAAACGTAATGCCAAATAAACCTTTTTTTCATCTGTTTATTTGACATACATGCTGTTACATGTTTTACAGTTACTTAAGCACAATTAACTAAACCTGAGATAATGGCAAGGCTGCCAAGCACAGATCAACTGTTCACTGCTTAAAAGACAGGTAACTAAAACAGCTTCAGTTTATTAGAAAAGAGCTGGGAACACTAATAACAGTGGTTATTTACCTAGTCTGAAAGTAAAGCACCTGACAAGACAGAACTCAAAAATCTTCCAGGCTATACTAGATGACCAAGGTTACATATGTAATTAACTGGACGTCCCAAAACTGCCTTGATTCCTAAGCATTTTTGGTGCATGGATGCTTTAACAACAACAAAAAACAAAACCAAACCAAACAAAAAAAAAAAACCAAAAAAAAAAAACCCCACCCCCCCCCCCCCCCCCCAAAAAAAAAAAAAAAAAAAACAACCAAACAAACTATCAAAGTACATACAGGGGAGAGGGGAGGATGTCAGATGGTTAGTACTGAGAATTCATATTTAAAGTTGCATTTTATGAAGAAATTTACATAAGCAGGGAAAAACCAAAGCATAAAAAAAGGCATGGCAAGAGTCTGGGGCCCTGAAAAGGATTGGAAAGAAGTGCTCCAGGGGATGACTCAGGAAAGAGAAGAGTCAAGTGTGAACAAGAGAAAGACAAGGGTAGAGCACAGTTGTTGAGATGGACCAAGGCAGTTGAAAAATTCTTCTTACCAACCTTGTTCTGATAAAAAAAACTTATTAATGTGTTAGCTTCCTACTGTCTGACACCTCAAGTACCTACCTATTGTGCCATCTCCCAAAGGAAACTGGCAGGACCGTTGGAAGGAAACTTGAATCTCACACAGAAAGCATAAGTTAGTAGAGAAATACATAAAGGGACATGACAGTGAATAGGTAAGCTGATGAAACTGGTTAAGATGAAATGACAGAAAGAAACAGCAGCTTGCAGAAGACAAGATCTGTAAATCCCAATGACAGAAATGCAATTTGCGATCAAGACAGCTGGTAAAGGTCATTCAAGGACAGAGCCCAACAGGAGAAGAGGACCACAAGGAGATTTAAATTTTGAGAGTTGCTAAGCAAAGGGGAGAAAGAGAGGAAGAGACAACAGAAACACTGAACAAAGATGATCATTAGGCATTCTTTTAAAGCTCCTGTTTTTCTTTTTTTTGACTGACATGTTTTTTAAAAGCCTCATCTGATCGAGACCCCTACATGTCATGTAAACTAATCCTTCAGATAAAGTTATCTGCACTTTCGTAGATATTTTGAAGATCATCTTCACGTTAAAATGGATAACACAAAACATGGTCAGATTCCTTTCCTCTAACAAAAAGAAGACTGATACAGCAACTTGATTATACTTTAACATTATCTACATGGGAAAGAAATTTGTTAGAAGACTGAAGTTACCAGATAACACCAGATGAAACCAGAAAGCTGGAAGCTAGCAGTAGGTGTGTTTAGACTAGCAAAAAAAAAAAAAAGGAAGTGAAACTATTATAAATCCACACTGAACAAAATTAATTTGCAAAAGTGCCAACCTACTGGTATTCTAAAAACAGAATGAAAGACTTAGGAGTTGCTCTTGCTCAGAAAACGTAACAGATTGTTGCAGGAATTGTTCTGTGACTTGCTATGGCCTACATTATGCAAGATATCAGACTTGATGACCATAATGACTGCTCCATTATATTGTAAAATATACAAACCTCATATCTTTTCCCTCTTATGTCACTGTTACACTGATTAACATTCCATATGAGAAAGTGATGAAGCTATGCATCTTCTATTAGCCTATATCTGTATCATAAAGAAAATTGTTTCCCAGAAACAAACAAAAATCCCACACCTGCACCTGCTTACTTTTACAAGTTCAATACTGCATTTGCTATAAGGATTTAATCACATATCTACAAGTCACACTTAGCATTCACTTTATGACCCATTCTTGAATAACAAGTTTCTCCAAAACCTGCTTTTGATTAAACCTTCTGACATATCTCCAGTTATTCTATCTTATTCTGTAACAGAACTTCAACAAAAGAAATCATTAGTCCCCGGTGACTACGTTATAGGTAGTACAGTTGTAGAAAAAAAGTTTTGATAATAAAAACATATTCATTTCAATCACTTAAAACCCACTAAATATTGTAGTAGTTAGAAAGTTAACGACAGGATAAGGAAGCATACTGTCCATGAGACCAATATCAAGTTCCTAATTCAGACTTTACAGTTATCATTTATAGAATATATAGATATATATAATATGAAAGGCCATGATTTGCCATGTACATTATGAAAACAATGTACTATCTTCACCCTAGAATGGAACCAATAAACTTCATGCAATGTAGTCCAATTTATGACTGAGTGTAAGTGCCCTTGATAGAACTGCCCATACATTTTTATTCATCCTTTGAGCAAACTACGTTGAAAAAAAAGATTGTTAATAATTTAGCAATTTCAGCCAATTTAAAGACTTGGACAAGAAATTACCTTTTAAATGCCCACCCACATACTTAGAACCATTATTTGGATTTTTGAAAATATCATTCTTTTTCATGCTTATAATTAGAAAGAATTAAGGATTTTGCAAAATGTTAGTACTTACTTATCTCCAAAGAATTTTCTCCAGAAATCTGCAGCATCGGCTTTGGTGATACGAAAGTTATCACCCTGGAATTGGCCATTTGGAAAAATAGCCTTTATTTCTGCTAGCATGTGGCTGAAGATGAGGGACAGCTTTGTTAGGTTTCTCCTGTGGATATAATGGGGGGGGAGGGGAAAATCACATCAAATCCTTAAAATGGAATAAATTGAATCAGTCTTTCAGTACCTCATATATCCTTCATATTTGTGTAATAATCACTGTGTGACACCAGAAAAACACTGAGCTTTCAACTGAAAACACAAAGGAATACAAATCAGTAGTTCGTGTTTCCATGCACTTCTGAAGACACATCTCCATGAATATAAAATCATTTGTTCAGCAACAGAACAGATTTGAGTTCTCAACTGCATATTCCAGCTACATTTCTGATCCCTATAAAGATTAAGCTCGTGCATTTCTATTTCATTTAATCATTGCAGAAGCAGGAATTTATACTAATTAGACAGCAAATACATTAAAAAAACCCCAAAACAACAACACACCAAAACCCTCAAAACATAGTTTATATGTGAGATCAAAGCTATTTCAGTCCAGGTTTATAGAAATATAAACACAGCACAGGACTAGGTTTATTCTTTTTTCCTATGACAATTTTATTCTTTTTATTCTTTCCAGCTTTCCCTTACTGCAGCTACTTCCTATTCTCTTTTCAAATGCCTTCTCTTCAGTTAAAACTTGCTTTCAGCTTTCAGTGGCATGTTAGAAACAAAAATCAAGTTTCTTTGCTATCAGCTCACTCCCATAAGCTTTCCAGACTTGTATCAGTTAATCAGAAATTATTTATTTTTTGGCACAGAAATCCCATTTAGTATAGTGCAAAGAACACAACATCCTTAAATGCAAATAATCCTTTTGTATGGAAAAAGTCTCTAGGAGATGGTGGGGGGAGGAAAGAGAAGGGTGAAGCAATCTTCTGGAGATTCCTTAGATGATCCTTGCAGTAAAAAAGGGGTATTTTCCCACCTGATATATGAAGCGCAGGAGACTGAGCAGTTTCTGATGAAGAATTTGTGTTCTTATGTATTTTAATGAAATATTTTAATGAGTAAGAAGTGTCCTGTGTCAAGCCCATTCACCTTTCACAACCTCAGGTACTACTTAATAGTGCCTCAAACAATTTAATGAAAAACATAATAAAATGCTTATCAGCCATGTAATTTATGACTACTTATAGACAGTATTTTAAATAAATACAAACTTATTCATAAGTCCCTAGCCACATGAAAAGATTAAGATAGATTTTTACACATGCATACCAAATAGTTTTCAGAATGCTCAAAAATGCAGTTCAACATATTTCCTGAGGTCTTCCTAAAAGAACACTCAACTTCATCCTGAAGCACTAATTATTTCAACTAGATTTGTGAACAACTTATAATAGAGATTCCTGTGGAAGCAGTGTTGCAGATCTTACTATAGGTTTTGCTACCAGGAAAACTATGGTAAAAATAGTTATTATTAAAACATAAGTAATTTAAAACAAACAAACAAACCCCTGATGAATACACTCTGCCTCCTCTCAAGATTCAAAATGGTTGTAGAGCTAATTCTTTCAGAGTCCTTTAATTCCTCCAGTATAATCAGATGTCTATAATTATGATGCCCAACTGTTCCGTATTTTCTGGATTTGTTCCTTGCTATCCCCCTTCCTATTTCCTTTGTACTTTAATTACACACACGTGTTCTTCATTATTTTACTCCTCAGAACTCAAGCCTGATGCAGAGAGCAAGCAACAGCTATTTTAATGTGGCTTCCTCAGCCTGACCTAGACCCAAGATTAAGCAAGCAGCTTTCTGTATCAGGACAGATGGGAACATAATTCAGTGCAAGTTTGAACAGAGCTCTCCCTTGCCTGGTACACCATATATCTGTCTACATTAGCAATGTACTATGCTGCAGGGGTTCTTTTCAGGTACAAATTTACCTAGTGAGCTTGTTGGATTCATGAGGCTTGAGCCCTGTAATGAACTAAGGGATGAAGTCACATACAGGTGTCATCTGGGGCACTTCCCTACCCAGAGGGGAGTGTGTGTGTGTCTGTATGCGCACGTCCATGCACATGCATTACCTGTTAGGTACAGCTGCACAGCACGTGACCAGAACTAATGTGGTAGGAACTGGACAGCAAATGCACAGTATAGACATGCATCCAAATGGCTGTATCTAAATCACAAAGCCTGTTCCTTCCCTCTTTGAACAGCACCAGTCACTAAGTGCATCAACACACTTTTGTTTCATTATACAAGTTGGTTAAAACAAAGAAAAAAGCTAAATTGTTTTGTTTGTATTTGTATAAACAAGGAAAAGTGTTTTAATATCAAACTAAGATACCTTCTTTCTATCTGACTGCAAAGCTGAAACTTGAAACCAACTAGAACCTTATCTGTGCCTGAACATACATCACAGCATGTATGTGCAGCAGAAAATGGCAAATTCTTGATCATTTATATATATGGTGGCTGTGTTTCTTCCTTAATTTTGATTCTTGCCGTACCAGATTATTATCTCAAGTCCTTCTCTGGTATCAAATAATCATGATAAATCATGTCTTAACTTTTCACTCATATTTTTTCTTTAGAATTGTAAAGGACATATTGCACCATTTTTGCTTAAGGTATGCTTATGTGATACCAGATCTCAGTAACTTACTGAGACAGAGATACAAAGCTCAATGATTTCAGAAATGGTTTTCAAGAATTATACAAGGTGCAGAAATGATGCCATCAGGGTGGGCCGGTGACTCTCCCTACCTGTGCATTTCACTCTTCTGACAATGTCTATCCATTTTAGCACATGTACTTTTGCTGTCTTGTGGAGGGCTTTCCCAGGGCATCTCAAGAAGCACATATTCTGCTTTATCCACTTGGCAGCCTGCACAGCTCCATTTTCTAAGTTAGGATGACTCCTTTTTCTCCGACCATATAAAGATAGAGCAGTGTCAAAAAGTTTTCCATCTTACTTTCCATTCATAAGTGTAAGACAAGGTATTCAAGTCTTATTTATTTGAAAAACAACTAAAACCATCAGCTTCAGCATTTTGGTGAATAACCCTAATGGAAGCCAAAGAGCTGGTCAATCTGAGCCACCTATTTTAGGTCTCATTCCCACCAGGAGACTGTAAAGAAACCAATCTTTATCAACTCAGCCTGCATCTCTGACAGTAACGGGCTTTTCTTCTCCTGGTCACAGTGAAGACTGTTGTAGTGGTAGAGGGACAATTGTACTGGCAGTCCGGTGGCACAGAAGAGCTGAGTCGATACCTTTGACTCACTAGATTCTAGCAGGGGAGGGATATCTTAAGGGATCATATTGGAGTTACACCTCAAAAAAATGCTCTTCAAATTACAGCAAAACAATGGTTTTAATGCCTCAGCAGCCAGCCTTCAGGGTTTAAAATTATAATATACTTTCATTGGCAACCTGGAGCAGGTTAGAGGTGGGATTTCTTTCCTCAGCTATGTTATACCTGGTACAGAGCACAAACATTTGCTTTATTTCTGTAGAGCGAATGGGTTTCATGCTTTCAGAAATCAAAATCAAACAACACTGCCTCTTTATACCAAATTGAACTGAGATTATCATTCTCCACAATATAATAGCTACTGTGGTAAGATTTAAGAATATTTTGACACTAAATGATGCTATATCAACTGCATTTTATGTAATGCATACTGTAGGTCTGTTCCATACTATTTGTAACATAGTCAACACCTATTACTTGATGTTTTTCCTATGATTCATCCTTAGCTTTTGCTAACTTTCTTTTGCCAACTCAAACCGATGCCACACAGTTCAAACCCCTTGTAGAATTTGATTTCTGAAGTATCAGTTTTTCAGTCATACTCTATTATTTGTGGCCAGACATGTTTGTACATGACAGATCTACTGAAGAACCAACAAGATTTGAACCAACCCCAGAACACCTCAGATATAAAAATTAAAAATTGAACTTTCATTTAGTATAAACTTGTAAAGGTCTATTGAATCAGCAAATATCTTTTGGTTAATCAGAAGAAAGACGCATTTTCTTGATTTCAAAATTAATCTGTCTTTTGGAGTTATATCTCATCAGCAAGTTTTCTAAAATACAGACTTTATAAAGCCTGAAAACAAGAATTGTGAGTTTGTTCACTTTTCAGTAAATTACTATATTCTGAATCAATTTTCTCTTCAACTCCGGGGAAGGGGTTCAGGCTAGAGAATACTGCAAAGATTTCATAACTGAAGGACTTTTCAAATACCCAGTCACATGCGATTTGAAAACAGGGCTTAATAATGGAAATATTACAACATCCCAGTCACAACCAGAACAGTGGCAGCTAGTAGTAGAAGCTCTGAAGCAGTCCTACCCTCCTGAATCTATTAAACAGGAAAGCAAAGCATGACCAGCATGCAATAATACAGATAAGTTTTGGCCATGTCAACTGTATAATCACTGTATAAAAGCTAATTTTACTTTTTGGAAGGCAATATGGTCTAGCAAACAGAACTGGAGAGGGAATTAGGCAGTGTCACTTTCTTTCTGCCACTGGCCTGATTATGAGGTGGGAGGAACACCTGTGTCCTGCATTTACTGCCTGTGTATGCGATGAACAGAGTAAAACACTCAGAGGCCTCCAAACTTGGAGAGCTCCAAACAAATACGCTTGGCAGAATCAGCATATACATAAATATACAAAGCAAAGCATACATCTGTGCCCTGATCCTTCATAATTACTGGATTTCACAGACAATAAGCAAGACAGTCATTTTAGCAATATGTACTTGTATCTCATGCAACAACTTGAAAATGCATAAACCTGCTTACATATTGTATGTGTATATCACTTCCACTTTCATGCTTGTATGTTACTATCTCCCATGAAAAACAATTATTTTTATTTTACAACTATACATATTTCTACGAAAAAACCATAGTGTAGAAAAGAAGTCAGACTGTATATCTTTGCAGTTATGTCATTCCAAAAATTAGGTTACTGCTGGGTTTCCTTCTTCATTGCATCTAGTAAGTGTTTAATCTTTCTGCATCCACATAGATATACCTTGTTAAACAACAACCTGCTGTAATAAACAATACATCAACTTC